TTGAAAGCATTGACAGGAAAAAGGACTCTTGATTCAATCAGATTTAAGCTGAAATCAAAAGGAAATCCGCTCAAATTAAGAGGCTTGGTTCTTGATTTAAGCTTAAATCTGATTGAATCAAGAGTATTTTTTCTTATCAATGTTTTCAAGAGTCTGAACTCTAGATCCGATGTGCTTTTTTTTCCAGTGTATAGCAGCACGTTGAGTAAGAAGTTTCCACTGAAACCCGGGCATGAAAGGCCGAAACGGTAAACGAAATGACTTTTGGAGGATGACTATGAATCAGTTGAAAAACGCTTTTTCGACAGACAATCTGGGAAACGGACAGGCGGACAAAGGTGGAGGAAGGGTTAGAGCGACGGAGGTGGAGGTTGTCAGGACTCCCGTTGTTCGTGAGGGGTTTGATTCATTTATTAAAGTCATAACGCGGCTTGCACAATGCTGCCCTCTGACGGGAGTCACTGTGTTTATCGCGCCCGGGGGCCTCTTAAACGGCCGCAGCCATAAAGGTTTGCAAGCCTCGCAACTCAAATGACAGAGGTGAAACTTGGACCGAGGGGAAGGAGTAACTTTGACGGCTCCACTTCTACATAACTTTGCTAGATGAGATCTGAGAACTTCGAGCAGTCAGAATTAGCGCGAGCGTCTCAGAATTCAAGCATTACACGCGCTCGTCTTTTCCGATTGGAATGCGACGAACAATTCGGTTTACCACACGTAGTTGCAACTACACCTGCAGCACTACTGCAATGACTGCTAATGACATATACTATTGATACCAGCCAGGTTAGCCGCCACTATAATATTTTATTCTACATGTTTTTTTTTCTGCCCCTACTGTTTTTCCCCGTGAAATTTGTGCGATTTCATGAGGTCTGAGTTATTTGTCAACGTAAGATGGAAACTGGATTGTCTTCGGATACAATTAATGAATGCCCATAACTTCTCCTCCATTCAGTGTTCCATGATACTTTGAATTTTTTGGACATTAATTCGTTTTTATTTTAATTTTTTGAAAGGGGGAGAGAGGCTTCCAATAGAAGCTTTAATAAAAGGATGGTAGAAAGGTTCGAAGTCCACATTATTTAGAGGCAGGGCCGGATTAAGGTGGTGGCCACATGGACCGCGGCCCATGGCGGCGAATCTATAGGGCAACAAATTTTGTAATTATTTTAAATTTAGGTATAAAAAATATGGGATTTAGAAAAAAAAAATACAAGCGAGAAAAGACGACAAAATTTCTCATTTCCTGAGAGTGTAGTAATTTTAAATTTTGTGGTCTTTCAGTGATACAAGAGACAGCACCTTTCATTAGTCGAGTTAAGAGAGAAACCAAACACGCAATTTGGCTTGGAACGGCGCGGCGCAGAGAGAAATGATGACGAGGACTTGAGATGAAAAGGAGAAGCCCTCGGCGCGGCGATCGGCATGTAAGACATATTAGCGCCTACAAGACTGCACGAATACTTCACGCATTGCATCAAACGCAGTGCGGTCATTGCGGACAGCGTGAAACGGATAGCGCCTACAAGAATGCATGAATACGTCACGCATTGCGGCAAACACAGTGCGACCAGCGTGAGACGCATAGCGCCTACAAGACTGCGTGAATACTTCACGCATTGCGTCATACACAGTGCGGTCTGCGTGGCGCGGCGGCGGAAGTTAAAATCATTAAACCACATTCATATTTGTTCTTTCATAATTTTTTCGTTCATTTCTTATGAATGGAAGGCCTTGTCCACATAAGAAATAGGTTTACAAAACTTAACTTTAGCTAGTAGTATTGACAGGGCATCCTCAAAAAATGTGTTCAACACAAGTAAACGCGTCTTACGCACCCCTCCCCCGTTGGCACGTTTACTTGATGGTTTTCATTGATGCTTCAATACGAATGAGAGGGGGGGGGCGGCAAAATACAGACGGCCCATGGGCGGGAAGTAGGTAAATCCGGCCCTGTTTAGAGGAGGAATCATACCCAGAAAAATACCGACAATTAGGATTAAAGGTATACGTTGAACTCTGATGAGTTTCAGTCCAAGAATGAGGGAAGAGGATTTTCAGTTCAGACGGTAGCATTAAAATTCTGGTCTGGATCCCGCTGAGAGGTCTCTGCCGGTTTATGGCTCCTGTTTAGGCTCGTCAGCAGATCACAGATAGAAAACACCCCCAAAAATTGCTTCTTTCAATTCATCTACCTGATCCAAACACCATCCCTCTCATTCCTGCGGGCTGATTGTTGAAAAACTCAAGAAAAAATACTTCTCGGCGGCCAATTCAAGATTCCTTTTTTTTAAGTGTAATTTCATCATTTCACGGAGTTATATCAACACGCCAACTCAAAAAGACAGGCTGGAGGGGCATTTTCTAAGTGGAGACGATAAAAGCCTGGGAGTTGAAGCAAGTCCTTTTGAGCCCCCCGCTGGACCGCGCTGGGGGGTTGGTGGGGGGGGGATATCGGGGGTGGTGCAGCAAACAAAAGATCCCGGTTTACGAGTCGGGAACTCGGTTCAAGGCGTCGGGAGCGCGGGCGCGGCGGCAGCTCGCTTAATCGGGAGCCATAAATTCGACCAATAATCATAGATCTCACGGCTCTGAGGCTCGTGACGAGGCCACTCGGTGCCTGGTTTTTGATAAAAGGTTTACGGCTCATAAAATCCCCCGAGAGGGAGCATTAGGATAATCTCCAAATGAACCGGCACTCCTCGGTGCTCCCTCTTTTTTAATCTTTTTCGGGGATTTAGCTCCGCGCGGAGTAATTCGTTCCCGAGTTACGAGTTTTCGGCCGGATCGTCACCTAGTTTCCCGTTCTTGCCCCCTGCACTCGCCCGGATCCCGGGATCGATCTCGCTTTTATTCTTCGTCGTCAAAACGCATCGGGAACACGCTGCTATAAAGTCGGACTTCAGTTGGGAGCTAAACACTCTTGAACGTTTTGCCGTTTATATTGGTCCTCGTTTGCGGGAACGAGTTACGCTGGTAAAAAAAGTCATAGATCTACGGTCCGAACTCTTGAAAACGTTGACAAGAAAAAATACTCTTGATTCAATCAGACTTTATGCCTGAATCAAAAGGAAATCCACCCAAATCAAGAGGCTTGGCTCTTCAATCCAAGAAAAAATACTCTTGATTCAATCAGACTTTTTGCCTGAATCAAAAGGAAATCCACCCAAATCAAGAGGCTTGGCTCTTCAATCCAAGAAAAAATACTCTTGATTCAATATAATAATAATTAGAGAAATAAAAGAGGGGGGATAATTATATTACTAATAATATATATAATAATAATTATAAATAAGATTAAGATGATTATTTAAGCTAGCTCTTGATTTAAGCTAGATTCTGATTGAATCAGAGAGTACTTTTTCTTGTCGATCTTTTTAAGAGTCTGGACTCTAGATCCAGTGTGTTCTTTTTTCCAGTGCATGATAAGAAAATTGCCAAAGACACCAGTCTACATAGAAGTAAGTGTGCTTTGGTTCTACTGAACGTAAGAATCAAGAGGCTTGGCTCTTCAATTCAAGAAAAAGTTGGATTGAATCAAGAGTATTCTTTCTTGTCAATGTTATTAAGAGTCTGGACTCTAGATCCGAGCGACTTTTTTCTCCAGTGTACTTCACTGAAAAAACACTGGAAATATGGCTCAAATACGGGAAGTAATCCGCCGTGCTGAGGAAGAGCGCCGTATGATCATTCAAGAGTTGCCAAATTTCCTCAGATATAACGTGCATTTTCGAGGAAAGTTATGCACATTTTTCCTAATAATTTTCAGATATTTTAGATTAAATTGCGAACAAAATTATCTGAAAATGTTGAAAACATAAGTTCACAATTTTTCCCGTAAATTCTCTTCTAATCGAAGGAATTTTGGCAACGCCTGAAGGTTCATACAGCGTTTTTCCTTAGCCTTACCAAGCGCGCTTTGCGAAAGCATTAAATAATGTTTGACACGCAGCGATTCAAATAACTGAACTTTTGCCACCCCTAAGTGTTTGCCCGTACGTAAAACCAGACAGATATAGACTTGATCCATAGATTCCCACTCGATTCAGCACTCCTTCGTCCACTTAGCACGACTGATATACGTCAACAAACACACACATACGAAGCATATAGTGGAAGTAAGAATTTGATCGTATTCATTCACCATAATATTATCAACCAATGATCTTAAAACGGCGCTAGCGCCAAATCGCTCTTCTCACTCTTTTCCGCGATTTATCTACACTGCTCATAGACATATTGCACCCTTAAGAAATGTATACATGCTTAAGTAAAAATGCATCATATTCCGAAAGAGTTTTCTTATTACTCCTACGCGGATGACACTGAAAAATTGGACTGAAAAGTTTGGAAATTCAATTGCTCATCTTAAGGTACAATATGAAGACCACTTACGGTTAAAACTTTACGGTATCCTTTATATATAACGCCTCTGCATGATATAAAGGCAGAACAAGTCTTTAAAAAGAGGAGACCACAGTTCACTGCTATAATTGTAAATGCGCGCCGAGACACAAGTGCTGATATTCGCCTATTTATCAATTCCTACCATAAAAAAGAGAAAACGAAAAGAAGAAACAATTATTTTCGTTGGCACTGGAGCAATTTTATTGACGTAGGGGCTACGATATTGAGATTCAGGTACATTGGAAATTGAAGTAATAAAGAAATCAATTTTTTTTAAAATTGATGTAATGCAGATTAATGTTTACGTTAAAGTAACTTATTTTTACAATGACCCGCGATATACCAGTAATTCTTAGACTAGATACACGGATTTTGACATTTTAATTATGTATATGGTTAATGTCACGCAATGAAATACTTTTGGAAGTGCATATCTCGTTTAGTTGGTAAGATCAGAGGAGTTAGACGTAGCCCCTTCGTAAAGGAATACAAATAAAATAAGAAAACGAATGGAAACTCAGGAAACAAAAACCGAGTTAAAAACTCAAAACTGTTAATCGCCAAACTTTTAGAATTTGTTGAGAAAATACCTGATAACAAATCAAGTAGTCGATCAATTTTGACTTCCACTGGTTAAACAAGAATTTGAGTAGAAAAATAATTTAAAGGGGGAAGGTAGAAAAAGTGTAATATCTCTTTAAGTTTGGAAAAGCAATATTTGATTCTAAAAATTTAACTGTAGCAACTTTCGGATAAAACAAAGGGGTGAAATGAAAATCTGATATATTTCAACGCGAGTAACTTTTGAAAACGGCACAATATATGAAAACGAACGAACGGTACTCTTAAAAGCTTTAGAAGCTTAACAATTTCAGAGGCAGCTTCCCAAAAGTAAGATGGGTAAGTGTAGAGGGTTAGTTAATATGCACCTTAATGAAAGATATTAAGAAAGTTCTCCGCGCACTCTTGCAAACAAAACTGCATTGATTATTGTTTAACTTTAGCATAAAGTCTAGACAGACCGTGTGATGGGTCTAGAAAGGTGAACCAATATCAATGCAGCCTTTTTTTTGGTAATGACTGGTGATCAAGAGCTGAGAAATTATTCGTAATTTTTCTCGAAAATCGAGGACTTTAGATTCAAGGAGACAATTTCAAGTCCGAGCCGTAAGAATATGGTATCAGGAGTTTTAATTCATGTTTGACTTCCAAAAAACTATCTGATTAATTGCAATTTCCGGTATACACTTGAATGCAATTTTTGGATCATAACGAAATTGTGCTTGTTGTTCAACATTGAATGAGACATACGGAACAGATAAGAGCGGACGGACTCAACCAGGAACGACCTAACTGCATTTTATCCCGCCTAATATCCTCTCGTGGTTTCGTTCCTCGATAGAAAACCAAACAAAACAACGCCTTGAAAGCATGTGAATATCTCAGAGGTCATCGAGAATATGCTGACAGATTACAAGTCATAATTTTGTCTGATGACCAGTAAAAAAAAAGAAATTAATTAAGAGCAAAATTTAGAGGATATCTGGACCGAGTTTAAGAGAAACGTACTCAGTAGCATCTAGTTTGAACCAAGTAAATGAGGTTTGAAGTTTCATTCCTCCACGAACGTAAGGCGGAAAATCTAACGACTATTTACATTCTGTTCAAAATATTTTCTCTCTGCCTGGAAATTTTGACATGAGAAAATTCACGATTGGTTCAATCCAAAAGCACTCGTTATTTTTTTCCAAAAAATTCGACTTGCTGCATTCCTTTTTAAGTGTCCATCCGCCGCTCCTGATTGAATCCGCTCGTCCAGTCCGCGTATTCCAACAACACAAGCATCCACCGTAACATTTTCAGATTCATCGTAAATGCAACCGGGCATAGATTAACTCACGAGGTCCACAAATGCAAACGATAAGAGATAACCACGGGGGAGGGGGGGGAGGCTGCCTCGGAAATTTTTAAGCCCCGGAAGGAAGTAATCCTCTGATTATGCTACCGTTTCGCAGGATACGGACACGCACGAGCACAACGACCGAGGAGGGCTGCGCGCCCACGAGCTGGAGCTGGCGCTTGGCGGGAAAGCGCTTTTCGCAGTTATCGCCGAACTAAAGGAGCGCCGCGCCGCCGAAGGGACCGCGCCGCGTGTGGCCGACGAGGCGGTCGCTCCCGGCGGGGACGCCCGAAGCGGAGCCGGAAACGCCCGAAGAGCCGGCATGAATGAAATCCATACTTGCGTGCGGGACCGCGGAGTCGCGGAACTCGCGGACCCGCGACGACGACGACCGGCCACGCGGTGGCGGTGGCGACGGCGCGCGGCGGTGGGGGTGGGGGTGTCGCACAGTGGGTCCAGCTCATGGAAGAGGTCGCACATGAAATTTTCGAAATTTTCGGTCAAAATTTGGAAGTTCCGCGTTTACTTCGTCAGTTCGGTTATGTTAGGATGACGGAGGAGAGGCTGCCAAAGAAGATGCAGTCAAGCGTCGTCTTCGTAATGAGAGAGTACGTCATATCATGGAAGTCGACATCGCGTTCGACGTCATGACCAAAAAGCTTGTCTGGTACGGTCATGTCAATAGGATGACGGAAGAGAGGCTGCCAAAGAAGATGCTTGACTGGGTTCCTCCTGGGAAGAGACGAAAAGGACGCCCAGTGAGAGGGTGGCGACAGGGGGTGTTAAATGATATGAGGGAGTGTAAACTCCCTGATGAATTGTGGGGAGACCGAGTTTTGTGGCGATTAGGCGTCGCAGAGCGCCAGAGAGTGCTATAAAAGCGACTCATGTATGTATGTTTATTTGTCATAAATCCAATTTCAAGGGCCGTTTCTGCAAGGAAATTTCATGAAAAGCCACTTTGAAACTTTAATTCTTCATATTTTCGATAATGGGCCAGTTGCGCTAGTCACAGAATCGTGTTTAAAAACTTGGTTCTTGTAGAGTAGCGAAAAATAATTGGATTTGTCCATACCGCAACTTTCTACGTTCAGTATTGACCGAGATATCGCCCTTTGAAAAGTTAGGATTTTGACGTAATCCACCGCGGCAGTGACACCCTTGGTTTCTTCCTCTTTTGTTCGATCAGTGATACAGAAGGTGCAACGCGAAACTTCAGCGACGTTAAACGTAAACAAACTGAGCTGAACTGACTGACCGCCTAATCTCTCCGCGACGAGTGCGTTATCTCCTGATAAGAAAATTTTTCAAGTCCGAATCCGTTTGTTTGTTGAGTTTGTTTACGTTTAACGTCGCTTAACTTTCGCGTTGCACCCTCTGCATCACTGATCGAGCAAAAGAGGAAGAAACCAAGGGTGTCACTGCCGCGATAGATGACTTCAAAAACCTGACTTTTCAAAGGGCGAGATCTCGGTCAATACTAAACGTAGAAAGTTGCAGTTTGGACGGATCTAATTATTTTTCGCTACTCTACAAGAATCGAGTTTTGAACCACGATTCTGTGACCAGCGCAACTGACCCATTTAAGCTTTTAAAGTTCCCAAATTCTGTCCGACTTCTCTCATTGACTCGATCCACTGTGCGGCGGTGGGATGCAGCTCAGGAGCCGAGCCGAGCTCCCCCAAGTTCCCCTCGCTCCTTGTCTCACACCCCGAGCGGGTGGGACGCTTTGTTGCCGCTCTTTTCGCTTTCTTTGCAGGATCCAATATACAACGGAGGAACCAGAGGAAAGCTCGTCACCTTCCGGTCACTGTATCCCAAGCGTCATGCGACGTTTCAAAATTCCCGCCGCCTTTTTACTTTAAATGTTTTACCCCAAAATTGTAGGTTGAATCTGTTTGAAAATTTCACTGAAATTTATCGGCAGCACGAAGAAAATTCAGAGACATTTTCGGAAAGCTTTGTGGGGCGATTCCTCTGTAAATAAATAAAATGGCGGTGGAAATTTTGAAATGTCGCATGGCGCTTGTGGTACCTAGACCGGAGAGTGACGAGATGAGGATGGGGCTAGTACCGATGTAGGGAGAGTACTGACATGTCGAAGTATGAGCTCCTAGAGCCCAAAAGAACAGCCAACCTTTGAAAACGAAAAATGTCACTGTCAATCTTCAGATTGCAATATCAAACCACAATGGCCAAGGAATGTTCATAATGTACGTAATGTAAAAGAATGTTCATAAATGAGCGTTTTTGCGCAAAAGTGAGTGAATTTATGCAAAAAAAAGTAGAAAACGTGCTTTACCAACGATAGATTGTAGAAATTGTAATAATGAAGCACTGAGAAAACCAGTGGCACCATCGTGTTTCGTGTTTTTTTGAACATTCAGCCCATTCAACTTCCACCAATTCAGTAATTTCAACTAAATCTGTCGGTGAAAAGTGAAGGATTGATTTTGCCCTTTTTGCTGATTATTATAAGAATGCTTAATCGTAAGAGAGAAGGGAGCAAATATAGGCGAACAAGTAGCAGTAGTAGTAGCAATATATAAATTTTTTTATTTTTAAGCGGTGCCTTTGGCAACTATGGCTATTAACGAACGGCTGGGGAAAAGTCCATCATGTTCAAAAAAATTTACAGGATGGGTATTCAGCAGTAAATTTTTAAGAAGGGGAAAAGGAGGAAGGACAAGGAAAAAGGTGTTTTCGTAATCGCGTATGTGCTACTATAACTTTCCTCTACAAACGATTCAAAGTGGTTTTTGAAATATTTTAGTTTTTTCCGTTTTAATTTATACAGATATGAAAAAAAACAAAAAGAAACCAAAAGAAAAACTTTTTAAGCGGAATTTTGCTACTAGGGGACACGGGATTTAGGGCCTCTCCGCGTATTAAAAGATGCAGTGCCTATGTCAGGCGCTTGCGAAAACTATTCTGGGCGAGACTCGCATTCTTCGAACTCAAGCTCGTGATGAATGAACTAAATTAAGGCTCATTTTAGAACCGTTCAGACTTTCTTCACTTCAAGTTTCTAGCCGTTCAACTTGTGCTTGAGAAGTCGTTTTAATCTTCAAAAAGAAGTATTATGTGGCAAAAATGGTTCCATGATGAGGTTCATTTCATTATTTGATTAATCAAACAGTAGAAACTCTGTGTCGATTTTATTAGCAGAAAAAATTTTCCCTCATGATGACAAATGGAGCTGAAGTTTTAGAAACGATATCCCACCACTCAAAGTTAGTGGTTCACTTTCGCTAGTCACAGAATCAAGTTTCAATGATTTTTGGTTATGGATCGATAAAAAACAATGAGAGATGCGTTAAAACACCAAGATTTCACGAGTTCACGCTCAATATTGGACTGAGATATCGCTCTTCGATATGTACCACTTATGATGTTACCGAGATGGTGAATGTCATGGTTTCTTCCATCTTGGTTTCATCTCTGTTCCGGTGTTGAGCTGTACAGCGCTTAGACGCCAGCCCTCAACTACTCCCCACTAAACGGCCAGTAGTGCTCAACACTAGTCTTGTTTTTTCCGTGTATGACATGCGACGATCACTCTTGTAATTGATCTTAAAACAACTGTGCATAATTGTCTGTATATGTAAAACCTCATAAACACTGAAAAAAAATCAGAGATAGAAGAAAAGACAACTGTAAGCAATACAATCTTAATAAAAAATGACACTTACTTCTTCCTCACGAGAAAATTGGTTCATACAACGACCTGGAAATGATTTAGTCAAAAGCAGTGAGGTGTTTGAGTCTTACCTGCAACAATAGAAAATAAAAAAAGAATATGAGTTACATTGAAAGAGCAATTTTTAATCTGAGCGAGGAATAAAAAAAAATTTTCTATGCCCCTTTTGGCCTGCATAAGGTATTTTTATAATATTTCTTCGGCACCGGATATTTCTTTCTTGAAAGTACTTTGACTTCCAGTTTTCCAGTTTTTTCGTTTCCTGAGCAGTTTTGATTTTCATACTTGCCGTTTACGACACTACTCAAGAACGTCCGGAAATCGTTTTCCATTTCTTACGTATCCATTCAAGCAACAAATCAACAATAGAGAATTGTGAGAGTGCTAACCGGACGCGCCGCGCGCCGGAAGGTCAATGAGGTTGGAAAGCCTTCAAATTTTGATGCATGCAATACGCATATCCATCGGGCCCGAATAGTTGCATCCTGGCGCCTTCGACAGTTGATAACCTAAATCCAACCGTGTCGCGCCGGCGCGGCGTGCGCGGTCGGCGGTATCTTATTTCCTGCTGTGCAAGGCGATCTTCAAAATATCGGTATGAAAATAAACATAAAGCGGGGTGCTTCTGAAGAAAAAACATGTGAAACTCTTCCCGTTCAGACCTTGTTCAGTGATCCCTTTATAATTTCTTGTAAAATCTTTATAAAATAAGTTCAAAAACTTTATACATACCGTCACCTTTAAGGTGACCTTTAAGGTCACCGTCAAGGTAGCCTAGTAGCCAAAATAGTGAAACGCTGGCTTAGACGCTCTTCAAGGGTTACCTAACCGTAAAATGTATACAAATTTTATGTAATACCTATGTAACCATCTGTAACCGACATTCGCAAGTGCGCATCAGATGGCGTATCGTCACCTTTCGGCTAAAATATCATAAACGCCATGTGACATTTAAAAATTTCCGCCGCTAATTTATTTCTTTAAAGGGAAATTTTTTAACGCGCCTGCCTGAAAATTTCATTAAATTTTCTTTAGGCTGCCGCTAAAATTCTGTGAAATTTTCAGACGGATTCAACCAACAGTTCCTCTGTGAAAAAATAAAATGGCGTTGGAAATTTGGAGACGTTGCATGGCGCTTGTGATACTTCGGCCTAAAGGTGACGACACGTTACCTACTACACACTTGCAAATGTCAATTACAGATGATTACATACGTAAAAGAAAGAATGTGTGTAATTTTTACGGTTAGTTAACCTTTGAAGAGTTTCTGAGCAGTGTTTGACTATTTTGGCTACTAGGGAGCTGTTAAATTCCGGGTTTTCGCGATATTTTCAACGATGTCGAGGAGTTTCGCTGCGCCGCGGCCGCGGTAAAGTTTCGACGATCCATCTTCATCGCTTAATGTTGCGTGGTTCATTAGCGCGCCAAAACTGGTGTGCCCCCTCCCTCCTTCGGCCGGTTTTTTCGCGTATAAATTAAACAGCGCAGCATGCGCGTCTATCATATCCGACGTCGCTGCCGTCCTGATGACGTTTGACGT